AGAAAAAGCAGCAGAAATTAAGAAAATGAAGAAAACCAGTTTCTGTAATCTGATTTGAGCAGATCCAGCAATGCAGAACTCGCCTGCAGCTAAGCAACAACCAGATTTGCAACTGTACTTTTGGATCAACAACTCATTTCCAGCGAGACCACTGTGCCAGCTCCCATGTAAACCCAGCAACTGTGACACGCAACATTAGCTATCTAAATGATAACATGCAATGGAAGTATTTTAAAACAAAAGGGCAAATAAGAAGAAATCAATGGAAAAAATATTACCATACACAACACTTGACACGAAGCACTACCCTATGTTGCCATGGCTTTGGGTGCTGTTCAGCAACATGATGTCCTCATAATTGAGAGAAAATAGAAAGAGTCTCCATGATGGAACAAGCTGACATAATATAAGGACACACATCAAGGTGATGAGCACGTCTGGTCTGTCAAAAATGCTACTGCAGCTTAAGTAAACATACCTTAACTAGCTTTGTGGCTGCCTGCAAGCAGCATGGGGTAATTCAGAGGCTGTGGAACCTGTCTGAGAGTGAATAAATACTTAAATAACTAGTCTTGGCACACTGCACTGGATAATTACATCTGACAATCTTTTTCATGCTTTCAGCCTTGCAGGGATATATAGGCATTATCCCAGCCTGCTACATGTTTCAAAGCTGTGGTCCCCAACCCATGCACGGAGGCAATGCACTACACTTAAGACATTGCATTATTACTCATAGTCACAAGCCATCACTACTACGACAGTACACATCAAGAAAGCAAAACATGACAGCTTATATTATTGCCCGAAAGCCAGCAAAAGAATGTCTGGTATCAAGATTTCTGTGGCTCCCCATCTTAATATAGAAACAATTTAAATGCCATTTTCAGACTATGGGTATTTCTCCCTACCAGTGAACAAAGAGCATAGGGCTGTCACTTAGTCCCATGTGAGAAATAGAACCTGGATTATTAACTGACACTTTCAGTATCCAATGTATTAGGAATAACTGAAAGAAAGAAAAACACCATTTTCCAAAATACTGAAAATATTCTACAGATCTCATTTGAAAATTATCTCTGCATAAGAAGCTCTGGAGGCCATAGAAGAAAAATAAAAAGAGGCAAAATTAAAAATTGGAGAGAAGAGACCAAAGAGAAGAAGTTACTTTTGCAGAAGAGGAGGTTTACAGACCACCTGACTAATTGTATTTCAGTCAAAAGCTAGTTTATAACATACAATGTGCTTTATTGAGGCAAAAGAAATCAACAAAATATGTGAATTCATTTTACCAGCATTGAAGAGGGCCACAATTCATTATTCAAGTCCTCTTCCTTATGTGCAAACTTCAGCTCATTTAGTACTGAATTTAAACTCTCACTAATACTTGTACCTCACAGTTTTCCCTTGATCTCATCCCTCTCACTTGATGCAATATTTTAAAGGATAATTACTTGAATACTTGCAAGGAACGGACAAAAAAATATCTTTACTTACTATCATTTATTTTTAATCCTCACTCTTCAAAACTAAAAAGCTTTTTTCTGTAGAAATGATAATTTTTAAAATATTAACACTAAAAGCAGTTAATATCATTGGGCTTATTTATTTTTGGCTTGAGAATGCTAAAGATTCATGTTTTCATAGAAATGGGAAACTCAGTAAAGTATCAGTACAAGCCCTTAGATTTGGGCATTGTTAGCATGCCCTACTCAGCCACAGCACAGGTCCTCTTTATCCTAGAGATAGCCACATGCCATGGACAACGACAAGGATACCAAGGAAATGCTCAATGCTTTGAAATGCCTTTTTTTTCTATTTAAACCTAAAACAAACCAAACACAAACCAAACCAAAACTCTGTTCTGCATTTGCATTGCTAAACTGTTCTAACCAAGAACATTTCATCTCAGCTTCGAATATAACAGCTTCATTTGAAGATTTATTTCCCTTGGGATTAGCTGCTGGCCTGTAGGTATCCTCATCAGTTACTTCTTAATTTTCCATCCCTGGGCGACTCCGAACATGTTCCCATAGCCCCACCTTCCTTACAGTAAGTCACATGCCAAAGTGAGTCAGCAAAATATGCTTAGCCATCTTCCAGAGAAGCAATGCTTGTATAAAATAAATAAATAAAAATGGCCAGAATGTGTATTTTCTTACAAGCTTTTTTGGTTTTATTTTCCCTGTTTGGATATGTATCAGATATGCATATTATATTCTGGCTTTATGTTACACAAACACTTAGAATCCATTAAAATTCAAATTTAAAAATCATAAAATCCTCCCAAACATTTGCCATCATGTGCTTTATTACTATATTTTTCTCTTCTATTTAAGGTGTTTTCCCTAGCTGTGAGGAAGGAAAATGGATGTCATTAAACTGTTCTCATTACATGCGTGACAGAGTTCAACAGGTTTTTTTATCTGCCCTTAATTCATTACCATTTTCCCTCCACTGCTGCATTATTCAGGTATGTCACCCTCTTCTAATTCCTGTGACAAATACAATTGTAATGACTTTATCTAGGACCAACACTTCCAGTCACAATACGGAAAGGCAAAAAGTTAAAGCAGCTGCGTCACTTGGCTCTCCCTGATAGCCGGTCAGGGTGAAGGCAAGCCAGCCACGGAGAGCAAGGCAGGAAAACGTTCTGCCCGTGGGAAACAGGTCTGAGGGCACACGGGAGCCAGGCAGCACCAGCAGAAGTTACTGCTTCATTAATTTTACTGTGTTTCAGGGAGGTGAAGGACTGAATCACCAATAAAGGCAGAAAAGCACACCCTGGCATATTTTAGATCTACTCGGTTAGGTTTAATTTATGTCTTTTTTAACATTTATTTCAAATGTAAGCACCAAATTCATGTAATATTTTAGTTAATACTATTAATTTAAATATTACACTAGACTAAATATTACACAGTTATAGCCTCTGCATAAAATGATTCCATTAGAGCCTGGAATGATTTTTAACATTTGACTTGAGAAACAGAAATGCTAACTAATGTAGTTCCAGCTTTAACCCATTTTAAAGCACTAATTATTTAAATAATTATTTTTTTGTTTTCTATAGGACTGGAACCACCCATTGTTTTATCAGGACGGTTTTGGCAGTGCCTTTGCTACTTTGACTGTTCACAAGTTGTCTTACAGTTTCAGACGGTGTCAGACCTAGATGCTGTATCTTATGCCAGCTGGAGTGAGAACATTGGTTTGATGTATAGAAAAACAGTTTTAAGAAATCAGGGTCTGCTAGCAGTTCCCCTACAAACTACAATAGCAGCAGTGCTAGAGGTCATGAATATTACATAAGGGCTGTCCATGCATTCAAGCCAGCATCAGTAAGCCAAATTCCCATAGCAACACTCGCATAGATTTACTCCTCGCTAAGAGATACACTGGTTCA